AAATTCTTCACTTAAGTAGAAGTAGTAATACCACACTATTGAAATACTTAATTCTAAGTAAAGGTCCTGCATTCAAATCTGGTGGTGATGGAGTAGTGGATGAGATGCGTGCCTTTGGTGTGAGAGAACCAGGTTCAATTCCCCACTATAACACATCCACCAATATCCCTGAGCAAGACAGTAAACCCCTAGTTGCTCCTCTGACAAATATAGCAGTTTGAAAATGATATCATTAGTTCATTTGAATCATACTGTTTAAACATTTACTAGAATTTAATGTCTGTAACGGCAACAAGAGTAAGAAAATACTTACAGATTGGAATATTCTTATTGCACTTTCAGATTTTGTCACTTTTTGAAGAAAATAAGACTTAAAGGACTCAATTATGGATTCAAAATGCTCACTGAGAAGATTTTGTGCACTGCATCATATTTTATAAATCTTTAAAACATATGTATTGAAAGTAAAATCTACATGTTATGCAGATACCTGTTTGTACATCACTGTACTACCTCAATAGATTTTTTTCACAGAGGACATTTTTACATGTCACAGTAGGAAAAAACACTAAATAAAATAAAATAAAAATAATAAAATGAATGATGGCTGAATTTCATTTAGCTGCTTGCTTGTTCACTGTCACACTGTCATGTCCTACAGAGACATCATCAATGTTATTAGTAACACCTGTGCTTTTGTTACAAGTCATAATGCCAAAATGTACTCATTATTTTTTGTAAATACACATTCACACAGATATTTGATATTCTTGGATACAGAATACTGCACAGTCTTGTTATGCATGCAGTATAATGTTTATAGTTTTTGTTTCAGTGACATTTGTTTAGTTTATTTCATAGTTATTTTAATTTTTCATAGTTTACTAATCAGGCTGCCTTTTGTGCTGGGAAAATGTAAATGTCCTTGCTGGGGATAAATAAAGTCTTATCTTTTTAGATATGAATCTGCGACCTAAAATAACCGCTATCTACATCCGTCAGATAAAAGCGGTGGATTAAAAAGAACATTTCCCTCTGAAATGTATGTAGCGGAGGAATGGTCCCACAAAATATTTTTAGTGTAAATGTACTTAAGAGTAGAACTTGAGTTAATATACGCTGTTAAATATTTCTCTCCTCTGTTTGTCCTGCAGAGGTTTTCTTCACTGCCCCAGTCATCTGCTACTTCCTGGACGGGATCCTGATGATTTACTGCATCGTTGCCACTGTGTTCTTCTTCAGAGAAAAGGTGAGTCAATGCACAGGAAGTTCAGGCTTCAGGGTTACCAGGGTCACCATTAATCAATTGATTGTTTGATTTGTCTAGATTATAAAAATAGTGAGAAAAGCCGTCACATGTACCCAGAGCCCAAATGTTTGTTTTATCATTATTACAAATAAATTAATATTAAATAATTTAAAAGAAAAGCAGCAAATCATCTTATCTGTGAATCTGGAATCATGAAATTATTTTGCATAAAAAATGATCAAAATGATGAATGAAAAAAATAATTAATTAATTTTCTGTCAATTGACTAATTGATTAATCAACTAATTTTTTCAGCTGTACTTGTATACTGGTGGATAGTTTAATTTATAGCAAAACACCATATTTTTCTCCTCTTATCTTTTTGTGCAAAAATTTGTAAAGTAACTAGTTTCTTCAATAATTGTAGTGACGTTTAAGTACAAATACCCTCAAGTCCAGAGAAAATGTCATCTTCAAATTGCTTTTGCAGTCCAAAATCCTAATTTATTAAATTTGCAATGATATAGTAGAGAAAAGCAACAAATCCTCACACTGAAGAAGTTGAACTTCTACATTTTTGCACAACAAATAACTTAAACGATTAATCGGTTTTACTTTGAATTATTTAAACTACTTAAAGATTCATTTAGTTGCAGACGTGTTATTTGATGTTGATTAATAAAAATGTTATATTTTGTTCTTCCTCTCTGTGTAGTATTTCTACAACCCCCCTCTGGCTGTTGGAGTGTCTGTAAGTCTCTATGTTTTCCAACCTCACATAATCTCCTTAGTGTATTGATATTTGACTTTTTATTTATTATTGTCTGATATTGGCAGCATGGTGCACTATCCTAGCACTGTGGCAAGAAGGTCCTGGGTTCAAACCTCAGCTGTCCCAGGCCTTTTCAGTGTGGAGTCTGGATGTTCTCCCTGTGTTTGTGTGGATTTCCCCCTCTATCAAAAACATGTTAGGTTAATTTTCCTGTCTGTACCCTTGACCAAGGGACCAAGCTGTGGTTTCCCACTGCTCCTTGGGATGAGTTAAATGCAGAGAATGAATTTCACTAAACTTTACTGTGTATTTGATATACATTTTGCCTAGTTAAGCATGTGTATCTGCTTGAGCCTGTGCATTCCCAGCTTATTTAACTTTTTTGTGCATTTCTCACTGACAAAGCAGGCAGAAAATGGAGCCATTTACCAGGTAAAGAGACCTCTCACACCACTCGATGGCCAGATGATGTTTAATTCTGCTGCTCTGCTAGAAGGTATTTGTTTATAATTTCGTGTTTCCTCTCTAGGAGCTGGATAGACCAAAGGATGCAGATCCTTACCAGATGCTTGAACCAGTAAAAGGAAAGGTAAGTCAACTGAAGACTGTTCACGTTTACGTTCTCGCTTGTTCTGGCACATAAACTGTCAATCTCAATGTTGTGTTTTATCTCTAGAAAAAAGCTGGCAAGAAAATTAAACCTGAGGTAAGCTGATCTACTAACTTCCAACAATAAATGTTGAGCAAAATAAACTTCCTACAATTGTAGGATATGATTTAAATAAAAGGAAACTTGTAAATAAAACAGCCCCTTTTTAAAAAAAATATTTGTTAGTTATAAATATTAAAATGCTTTGTTCCACTTAGGATTTCTGAAGATGTGGCTATAGCTCTGCCCCTGGTGGATAGAATATCCAATATTCAATATTGTACGGCTACAGACTGCAATGGTGTTATCAAGAGACAGTGAGAGTGAATATTGGGCCGACTGGTAGTATGTTATGACCGCACCCATGATGGTTTGACTGGGACGTGGAGACATATGGGGAGAATTATATAGATTTAATATTTGAAAATCAAAATCTCTGTGCGCTCACAAAGTCAGTCACAAAGGACCAACTCACAAAAGTTAAAATCTATAGCTTGGTGCTGTGATCTCCACGTTTTTGTCTTTAATTAATCAGCGGAATATGATCATTTTTACAAACGTCTGTAAAAACCTTAGCATCATTGTGCATCTAAACTCAAAACACTCTTTAAACAGCTTGATAAAGTGTTCCCACTTTCAGGACATTAGACATGATTCTTTAGATTTTGGAAATATCTAACACATATCAAGGCCGAAAGGTCTAAATGCCGGCTTTCATTACAGACAAAACAGTGGCTAAGTATAGCCTACTGTTTGTCATACCACAACCAATGAGCAGAAACAAACTGCAGTGTTTTATATTGGACGCAAAAAAAAGTAATACACTTTTATCAAATGAAGCATTAACCTTTGGGTGAAAAGAGCAGAGGAGCCATAATGAATGTGGTTGTTTGTGGTTTAGGTTGTCATCAACTAATTGCACCGCTTTTAACACATCTGTACTGTTAACAGGATCTGAGTAGCTCACGTCCTTTATCTGTGGTCACTGTGAATGAAAACATGCAGACTCTTCTCCCCCTGATGTCACAAGATAAAGCGCTGCTGGTCTAACTAATGCAGACTTTGTCTCTCCCCCCTACAGTTGACTCTGGATTCAGAGCGGGATAAAGACCCCTATGAATCTTTGGTCCTCACTGCCACATCTCCACCTCTGTCCCCCCGCTGATTTCCTGCATGGTCACTCTTGTGTCAAGAGACAACATTGCTAATTACATCTCATCATGAAATGATTAGCTGAATAATGTTGATTAGTTGATCAAAAGACAACAGTAACTACTCAACTCTCTGGATCCAGCTTTTTAAAAAATGAGGACTTTTCTCTATTTTGACAAATGGTAAATTAAATATCTTTGGGTTTGAGGCTACTAAATAGACAGAAAGAGTAATTTGGAGACATCAAACTGATGTGTTTCGAGTATCGTGATGAGCTTTCAGTATGTTCTTACAGTTTATTAATCAGATGATAAAGAAAATGACAAATGAATCAATAATGAAAATATTTATCTCTACTGCAAGTTCCTACACTCCTACAGCCACATAGATACTGAACTCTTACATTTTTTCATTTACATATAATCCACAATTTGTCTAAAAACAGTCTAAGCCAGTGGTTCTCAAAGTTTTTTGTGTCATGCCTCCCTTTAGAAGGCTGAAAAAAGTCACCCGACTCCAGCTAATGTGGATTAACAACAGAGGCGACTGAAACCCCCACCCCCGGAAAGATTAAGGTTAGCACAATAGCCTTGCATCAGAGCACCCTTTTTTTGTTCATGCCATCACGCGAATCACATTCATGCAAATTTAGGTCTGCTCAACATCCATGCCCCCCTGCAGTGGCATTATGCCCCCCAGTTTGAGGACCAGTGATCTAGGCCTACCAGTCTTCAAATCAGTTTTAAGTCATATTCTACCGTTATCTTTTTTTGACACTGTATGAACTGTATGAAGTGTATTAGTTCTGCCTGGTTGTTTCACCAAGTTATTTTTTTTAAATAAAAACAGTCTAGCCATCCTAGCAGCTTCAGAATGCTGTAATTAGGCTCATGTTTGCTAACATGCTAATGCTAACAATGCTAGCATGCAGATGTGAAGCAGATATATTTACTATGTTCATCATTTCATTTAGCAGGTTAGCCTGCAAACATTTGCTAATCCACACTAAACACAAAGTACAGCAGAAGCTGAATAGAAGGTCATTAGTATTTACTTATTTAGACCATATGTTGGCAGCAAAGTGTGGCTAAAAATGTATGGCTTTTGGCTGCTGTATTCTCCCACCAGAAAGCTTCATTGTGTAACTAAACCCCAATAAAAGACAAAGCACATGTCAAAACACTTGGAAAATGGTTTAATGATGTTTACAACAAAAGAGAACTGTACATTAACAGTAAAAGATTATCTTTATATGTGTATAAAAACAAAACAAACAAAAATACAGCAGACAAATGCATCAAAATCTACTATGTATCCTGATTCACATACTTAAACTCCTACACAATCTTTCAGTTCTGTGCCCCCATGACTGGAGGCAGGTTTTTGTTTTTTTTTTCCTTGTAGTCCCTCAGTTTTGTTGTCCGTGATGGGAACCAGAACTCTTTACATTAGAGAGTCCTCAAAAGACAATTCTTATCAGACTGCAGAACAAGAAAAAAAAATAAAATTGGGGACACATTCCTTAAGATGAGCCCAAGCTTCCTATGTGAGTAGTAAATGTTTTACAGAATGCATTTCTTGAGATACACAGACGTAATATGTACATGGTTGGCTTTTTTTTCTCGTTTTTCTCTCTTGTTAAAAGCCATGGTCACTTGGGCTGTGAACTGATAAATCACACACACGACACACCCAAAAACATACAAAAATACTATATTTTTAACCTACCAAGAGTAAGACAGTTCTGCAATTAGTTCCATGCTGTGACAGAAAAGAGAGATTACAACAAACAAACAAGAATCAGATGCTTTTCACGCAAGTTTTTCTCAGAAATATACCAAAATATACATCTAAGCTTTGGAATTACTGAGGCTAGGACTAAAGCCAGTGCTGGGTTTGTCTCTTAATACACATGCTGCAGGGTGGACGGGAGAGAAAAAACTGTGAGAGAAAGACACAGGACAGAGATATCTTTGGTATCTGCATTTGTCAAAAGTTAAATATTTGGATTTTTGCTTTGGGATAGCGCTTGTGAGGTCCTACAACCTCACTTGGAGTAAAGCATTAAAGAAAGTGTCACTGAAGCCCGTCGGCCAGAGTTCTGAGCCGGAGGGACACAGTCCATGCAGAGTGAAGGACCATGATGCATAGTGTCACAGCTGATCAGAGTCTATTAGTGAGGAGACAATGTCAAAGGAGAGAGCAGAAGAGGAGGAAAAGGGAGGAGGAGCAGGGACACAGCAGTGAGTTTCAGCAACCGCAGGATGTGTATTCCTGGAGACAACAGGGTAAATGTCCTGGGACTATACAGTGTACAGAAGGTGAGGAAGAGACAGACACACTGTGAGAGGCAGGAACAGCATTTTCACCACAGTCCTTGAGTGAGAGAGAAAGTGAAGGGGGGGGGGGGGACATCCTAGCAACAGCACTCGAGACAGACAAACATACAGTCCTGAGCATGTACAGTGTGCACAGGATTAACCCTCAGTGTGTATTAACAAACATCACCCAGCTACCACCGGATTGGTTCGTGTCTGTCGGAGAAGCCCGCTCATCCCCTGTCCAGCCCGCCCCCCCCTCTGATCCCCGCCCACAGGCACTGAAACCGCAGCACGGACAGGATGCTGGCGTGTTTCCAAGCGGATACACATTCGCATGCAATAAAAAGCTTTACAGATGAATCGAGGACTCGGGTGAGAGCGTGCAGCCGGGATTTGATGCTGAGCAGTGAGGCGGGGATGGGGCGGAAGATGGGCGTCGTTCATATACAATCAAGTTAGAAGTCTTTGGTTAATGTTGGTACCACAGGGAAGTGAGAGCGGGCTTGCGACAGCGCACCAACATGCGGGAAGACACGTACACACCTGTACTTGGTCAGAGTGAAAATAAAATTTAAATTAAAAGAAAACAGGATTGTCAACTTAAAGTGTTCAGAGGGGTGGTCTATTTAAATAACAAAATGTAACTTTTAACTGAGAGTTAGCACAATTCAATTCTATCCAATGCTGAAATACATCAGTATGCAGCATAAAAACACCAAATTGTGAAAGAAAAACAGCAGACATTCATGAGTACTGGTATGTATTCTGTCTCCCCCTTGTGGTCACATTTTCCACAACCCTTTCCACGAAGTACAGGTAGGAACGGGCTTCTCCACCGACAAGTTTGTGTATTTTCATGGGGGGGTTTGTGATTTTTTTTTAAATATTTTTATTTCTTAAGTAGATTAAAGCAGGTTTCACTCAGTCTTGAGTTAGAAATGAGGTATACAACAGCTCCATTTTTCCTTACTGGTGCTCCAAACTTCCTTCGTCAACATTGAAAACCAGCAAACCAGTGTGGTGGATCAACATACTTCAACTTTATGCACGGCTGATTCACAAGAACAACTCAAAATCTCAGGATCACGTAATAAAACTAAAGCCTTAAAGCCAAGCCAGTGCCAAAAAGGTCATCAGTTTACAAGTTAATAGGAAACTAACAAACTACAACCACAAACTGTACTTTTTCCTTTAAAAACCAAATACTGGCTTGCTTAAATGCTTTAGTTACTCAGTAGAGACCTCCCTCCAGACAAAAACAAAAATATGTACTCTCATGTCTCACCACTTTTTTAAGAAAATCACTCTCAAACAACTGCTGGAAGATGGAAAAAAAAATGCACCATAATGGTTTACAGACTGCCCTCCCTCTTCTCTCATTTTAAAACACACACACACACACACACACACACACACACACAACACACACACACACACACACCCCCACCTGCTGGAATTATTAGTAAAGCTTTTCTCACAGGCATCATCAACCTGTCTGAATCCTACCTAAAAAACATAGGTAGCAACAAAATAACGCTCCAAAATGCCCTAAGTACACCGTATTGTTTCAGTGAAAACAATGCACCAGGTGAGCTCAACGTTCAAGCTCTCTCTCTCGCTCACACACACACACACACAACAATGCTACAATGCTCATGTCTTCTACGTAACAATAAGGCATAAATGATAATGTTAATCTTCTTTGTCAAACTAAGAAAGCCAGTGATCTTGCCCTCTCACACTATATAAAACAATTAAAGGCATAAAGTAATTTTTTTTTTTATAAATCAAATGATTGTTAAAGACAGCACAACAAATCAAGTACACAATGACTCAACCAAAAAAACAAAACATAAAGATAATTATTAAAAGTTTAAGATCATATGCTTCAGAGTCAGGAGCGCCTGAACAGTCCCTCCTGTTGAAAAGACCTCGCAGATACACGACAGACACAGGTGTCAGCGACTCACGCACCTCCGCGGCGTGGTCTCAGATTTCTTCTTTTATTTTTTGGTCTTGACAGTTTAAAAAAAAAAATAATAATCTGGTTTTTCAATAATAAAAAGGAAGATTTAAGGGGAGATTCTTTTTTTTTTTTTTTGAGTAAGCATGATAAACACTACATTCAGTCTTGATAACATACTGGATCAAATATAAAATATGAATATCTTACAAGTGTTTATATATTTATTTATACGTATAGAATTAAGAAAAGATCATTTCTCTAATTCTTAAGTCTTTCCTCAGATAAATATTTCAGTAACATCCTATGGTGCCGATGGCAACTGGTTCATCTTGCTAGCACATGTTCAACTCTTTAGAAACTACAAACAGCACTGGAACAGGACTGAGTCCTTTAGGCCCGTTTTGGCCTCAGAAACGGGGAAACCAGCAACATGAGCAGCCAGACACACGCCCAGCTACAAAGACAAAGGCTTTTACTTTGGCAAGAAGGATCTCAAAATCATAATTAAACCTGGAAATACCCCATAAATAGTAGTACTAGAAAATAGCAGTAGTAGGTTGTCCTTTTATGTGTGGTTCCTATGTAGGGTTCATCAGTATAACCTTTGAATGGCAAGCCAGACAGTACTTATACATTCTACACTGTTCTATACACAGAAATGTCTAAAGGTGAACCTTGTCTTTAAGTGCTGCTGAGGTATATTCAGTTAAAATTTTTCGACAACAGAAAAGAAGTACACAAGAGGATAACGTGGACAAACTTCGCTGCTTGCAGTCTCAGTGATTTCACTGTGGTAATTTATTTTGTTATTTGGAAGCAGCAGAACAATGCTACTTTTATGTGGGGTTTAGTTGAATGTGTAGCACGTAACAGGACTTAGCCCAACACTGTGCCGAGTAAAATAATTTGGCATGTTTTAAAACTAGTCCACAGATAGATTTAGGGAGCAGCATATAGTTTCATAACATGCTGGTTTGAAATAGCAGTGCTGAGTAGTAAGTCATCTGATGATCAGAGCTATGCATTTACATAGGTGAGCCCTCCAGACAGGAGGGTCTAAACCACAAAACCTGATTTTCAGGCTGTAGTCATAAAGCTATAGGAAAGCATGCAGGCCTCTCAACAGCTAACCCCCGCCAGGAGTTTAAGCAGCAAGTTGTTAAAGCTAAGTTTCTGTGATCCTTATCCAGCAGCACCAAATCAGGAATATTAGATATTGTCTGAGGTGGGAGAGGAGGAAAATCATTTGTCAGCAGTGTGGAGTTAAGAGAACATGTGAACTGCAACTTGTGTGCTCGAACAGGCACAGCAACTACTGAGAAAAACCACTTTGGTTCAAGCTGTTGTTTTATGGCTGAATATTAGTACAAAACCAAAAAACAGAACTTTTCAAATTAGGCTTCAGAAAAGTCCAAAGCTGCTACCAAAATGGCCAAAACAGATGAAAAGGAAAACACGCCATGAAATGGCTCAAAGAAAACCAGGATCAGGCATTAGGGGCGGGGCCCTGGTAATCAAAACCGATTAAAAATAAAAAATAAAAAGGAAAAGGAAACCATTTTCTCATGCCCCAACGCGCCAACCCCTTTCTTTTTGGTAAGTTGTGCTGCCAATTCAAAGGTTGAGCTATGAGACACTCGGTCAAATTAAAACAAAAAAAGGTCATCTTTGGAAAATGATCATCAAAATATTGCATTTCTATATTCTGTTGACAATGGAGAGAGATTCTGTACTCATAAATATATTGACTAGACTAAGCTACACCGACTACACACAGCAATTATTTTAACAAATATTTTTGGTATATCTTAAAGTACGTAAGCCAGTCAAATGACTGCAGACAAAAATGACAGAATTTCATTCCTCCCAAAACAGCCAGACTGCAGCTCATCAATCCAGTTTTTTGGTACAGATACTGTGCACAAGTAGATACGACGGTACTACCATTAAAAAAGAAAACAAAAACACAACACAATATCTCCATCTAGCCAATGCCACCATCCATTTGGTATGATGGTCAGGCCCCCTGACTAGTCCTCCCCAAAAGAGACCAGTCCTCCGCAGAGCCTTGTGGATCATGCAGGTAACTGAACTCTCAGCATCTGCCTGAGCTGTACACAACACATGCAGACTTCTAATTTCTACCTCTGAAACATAATATACAGTTTTCCAATAGACCACCATCCAAAACAAATCATCCTTTGTTGGACACAGGACTGCATGTGTGCAGCTCTTTATAAAGCTCAATGTTTTCAGTCATTTTCTATCAGTGTTTATGATCCGCACCTAGACCGTCATTTTACAAAAGCTCGGTGGTTGCTTCGCTACTGCAGCAAAATGTAAAACTCAGTGTTTCCAGAAAGAGAGACTCAGAGAGACACGTCTGGTCCCTCCGACCCTTAAAGCAATGATAACCTTTATATCGGCCACTTATTACTTGTTTTTAAAGCCTTATAACCACGATTAAAAATTGATAGTTAAATCTTAACTTATTTGACTTACAAAGTTCTGAAAATGTCAAAAAACATAGTTAGCAGAGAAAGAAAAAAAGTCTCTACAATATAACTTTGATATGATTTACGTCAAAAGGCCTGTCCAAAAAACCCAAGAGAGATAATTAAAGATGGGGTGACACACAAATCCCCATTAGTGATGATGAATATTGTGATTAGTAGTAAATCAGTTTAATTTTAATGTTAAAAGAGCAAAATCCTAAAGTTTTTGGTTAGAAGTATTTCAGAGAAAATTCTGACCTGGAAATGGTGTGTGTAATTTTTTATATATATAAAAAAATTACACACACACACACACACACACACACACACACACACACACACAATGTGAACAGCTTGATGGTGCCAAGGATATTTTTCTGCCTGGACACTTGTCAAGGTTCATGAGGAGTGGCAGGCCAACAACAGTGTCCATCTGGCTACTGTTTGTGGAAAAAAAAACATCCAAGAATCATAAAGGAAAAGACTGGAAACAAACAAACAACAAAAATTCAACCCCAACCTCATTTGAGGTTGTTTTCTTTTTGGTGGCAGCAAAAGGATTAAATAATGATAGATGGAAGATAAAATGGGGTGGTTAGTGAAGCGCAGAGCCTATCAAACAACTTCCTTATTCCCTACATGGTGTGATAGGAGTAGTGCACGACATAAGAAATAGGGCGTTAATTCAGGATGCAGCCCGACTGGCTTCACTGAGCCTTGGAGGCAGTGGTAATGGTCGAGGCTTGCACAGGCACAGCAGCCGTGGTGGCTTGATGATGATGACCATCAGAAGTGACCTGCAGCCCCCCCGCCCCGGCCGACACCAGGCTGACGGGGTTGCTGGTAAGCAGAGACAGGTTCTGGTGATTCAAGAAGAGCGGCGTGGTCACCAGGTTGGGCGTGTTACCAGCAGAGGTGTTGGCGAACAACAGGTTACTGCCGTCCAGAGATGTGATGGGGATTGTGCCGCTCGATGCCAGAGCTGTGGAGAAGACAGAAAAGCTGAGGATGAGTTTCAGGGTATCAAAGGACCAAACCTGCCTTCAGAGTCAAAAATTTAAAAAATAAAAATTTCATTAATTTAAAAGTTTTGAATTTAGAAATAAGAGCTTTTACTGTCACTGCAGGACTTACATTTTTGCTTTCATTATAGAAACAATGAGTTATCTTGATAAACCCATGATGGAGTATCGTTATAATTTATTAATTATTATTTTATTTGCAAACATTTTAGTCGTTATTACTTTGTTATATGTTATTTTGTTCATTTATATAGGCAATTTTCTTTGGCAACTTTATTTACTGATTCATTCATTCCTCTGTTTCATACTGAGTCAAGTTTGGTCCTCCACAGCAAATGGTTTCCAAACCCAGGACACAAAAGAATTATGGAAATTATGATTTCTCAACAACAGCTGTATAATAATAATATATAACTTTATTAACTATTTTAGGCAATGTTTGTCGTTAAATACCCTTGAACATCAGCCGATCTGCAACATAACTGTCAATACATAAACGGGCCACAGTGCAAAAAAAGGTTGGGAACCCCGGCTTCAAACCAAGCAACTATATATAAAACTATGCATTTGGTAGTATTGTCTCAGATTAGAAGATATCTGCACAGTCAGTATTTAATATACTGTCATAACACTGTTACAAACCTTGGATGGTCGCTAGGGTGCTGTTGCTCATGAGGGCAGGACTCAGCGCACTGCCAAGGCCACCAGGCGTCAGACTGAGCAGGGCCCCCCTGGACACAAACACAGATCATTTAGAACCACAGAGAGGACGCCATCAAGTGAACTCCACAGAAGTAATAATCAGAGGCCTTGTTTGAACCAATGCCCAATACTAACCCTGAAGTGAACTGGGAGGAGGCCATCAGTCCTGGGTTTAGCCCTGCAGCAGCAGCAGCCATAGCAGCGAAGCTAGCACTGGTGGGTAACTGGGCAGCACCCTGCAGCGCCGCAGATAACCCCGGAGCCGCCACCATCACCTGACCCGTCCCTAACGTGGTGGCTAAGGAGGTCGGCGCCTGGGTAAAGATGGTTTGCGCTTGAGTGCCAGCCTTGCTCTCTGTCGTCGTGGAATGAATAGTTGTTGGCGACGGGCTTAAAGATGGCGAGCTGGTTGCTGTAGTAACCATAGGTGCAGTGGAGATGACGGATGCTGTGTTTGTGCCTTTGAGGGAAGGGGAGGCGAAAAGATAACCTTAAATTTTATGATTATGAGCTGCACTTTTATCAAGACAAGCGCACATGTACACACCTGTGAAAGACAAACCGGAGACGCTGGTGCTGGTGAGAGGCATCACTGTGTTTACAGTCAGAGTGGGGGGGGTGTTAATAGTTGGACTGCTCACAAGGCTTGCTGTGCTGGCCACCTGGGCAACAGAATGATAGAGAGGATTGAACAAATAACTACAAACAAATATAATAAACCTTTTGATATTGTAGCCAATTCCAGAGAACAAATAACAAAACCCATATGTCCGTATGTATAAACCTACAGATACAAGTTTAACCAATCCTCAAATTGATCCAGGAACAGAACACAGACTCTAGAAAACAGTCCTTGAAGAGTCACTTAAGTGTTGGTCTGTCCATGCTTACCAAAGGGCTACTGGGGGTAAAGATCGATTTGATGGGGGTACTGCCTCCTCCACTGTTGCCACTGCTGGGGGGGTTAATCCGCTTTTCTTTTTGCCGGCGATTGCAGAACCAGACCCGAATCACCTCCTTCTCCATGTTAAGCTGGTCGGCGATCATGGTGATCTCTTCAGAGGTAGGTTTTTGGTTCTGCTTGAAGAGGGCAAAAAAGCCAGGGATTCCCTGTCAGCACTGAGGAGACTACTGCCTTGTAATGTTGCTGCTGGATAAGATCTATTATAGGTTTAGGCCCTCCTCAATATTGTTAACTTCAGGAATACCAGTTTCTCACCTCCAGAAAGCTCTTTTCTAAGGCCACTCGGATGTTGGTCTCAATACTAGTCCTCTTCTTCCGTCTGCGGTTGATCCCCTCTATGCCCATGCCCGGGGAGCCCAGGGCACTGGGGCTGGACAGGGACTGGTCAGATGTCAGGTTCTCTGCACAAACAGCACCGACACAAAGGAAAGGAAGGGAGGTAAAGACAAGGTAAAAAACACACAACCCACGATGCCCTTGGCCGATTGCACGAGACCAATACAGATGAGGGGAAATAAATACGTAAGTGGAGTGTTTCTGTATTGTTCATTCAGGCGGGCTCAGGGACAAACCTGCATCATTGAGCCACTTCTCCAGCAATGGCTTGAGTTTGCACATGTTCTTAAAGCTCAGATTCAAGGCCTCAAAACGAGAGATGGTAGTTTGACTGAAGTCGTTTCCATACAGCTTCCCCATGGCCAGGCCGACATCCCCCTGATGAGAAGGAGGAGAACGGAGAAAGACAGAGAAATATGAAAAACGTAATAACCAGCATCATGATAAATTTTACCCACAGGAATGACTCACCCTTACTATGAAGTCATTATTGCAATTATTGACAAAGTATTGTTTTAAAAAAAATGTATTTAGAAAAACATGGAAATGCTGATCTAACAATCACTGAATCTGTGAGGATCAGTCAGTTCATTCATACACCCACCTGTGTGAAGCCCAGTTTGATACGCCTCTGTTTGAAGGTCTTGGCAAACTGTTCCAGTTCCTCCAGATCACTAGGCTCCTCCAGAGTGGGGGTATCCAACCGTTTGGGTGGTGTCTGACTGTGGGGCAGGGACTGAATAGGTGTGGCTGCTGTTGTGCGGGTTGGAGTTGCAGGCTGCAGAGAACAGCAAAATATAAAAATGGGATTGTTTTGAAAAGATAAGGAAGAGGGGAAATGTAGAAGCATATCAAGTGGTAAAAAAAAAGCAAATATATAAACGTTGGCTTTGTAATGCGTTTTTGTTTATTCCTGGATTATAGCTGGAAAAGTATAAGCAGAGAGTTTAAAAGAGGTGCTTGCATCATTACCAACCTGAGTTGCAAGGGTGATGCTTGGTTGAGTCGGCAGGAGGTTAGCTTGGCTTTGAGGTAGTTGAGTTAGAAGACTCTGGGCTTGCAGTATACCTACAGAGTGAAAGACACAGGAGTTTTAAAAAAGAATACCTCTATAACAAACAAATACTTGGAATATATCCCTTTTCTTAAAGCAGGGGTAGGCAATGTTAGAGGAACTAACAAGAGACAGCCAGAAGTATCAAAACAAAAAAATCCCCGCCACCCTTTAGGCCTCCCTCGAAAGCCCCTCCCCCAAAACACATTTCATGTGCAGTGAGGCAGACAGGCAGGTAGGCCAGTCAATCATTTCAGATCGAATGAAATGATTGGCCATGCTTAGTACAGTCCCACAACAGCCGCAGATACCGGATTTTCTTCATTTTTGTGATTTATTGATGGCTGTCGGGATATTTCAAAAAACAAAACAACAAAAAAAAAAAAGCTTCTGAAATAAATTGCCTACCCTAGCTTTAATTCTGCATGCAAATCAAACACTGCAAGTGTTTTACTTACCCTGTTGGGACTGCGGTGTCTGTGAGATGATGAACTGAGCGGGCTGCAATGATGTGGCGATCGGGTGGCCAGGCTGCACCAGAACAAACTGAGGCAGACTTAGATGGTTCTGCTGCTGTAGCTGCTGAAAGAAAAGACAATGCAATTATCACTAGAACCAGAAATCGGCCATTTATAAAATACACCTAATACTAAATTAAACTAAATTATATCACCACAGCAAGTTTTGCTGTGGCACTGCTACAACTCACAATTGGAAAACATACATACTGATTTTGTTTTTAGTCAGACTATACTAATATAATTACAATATTGTCTTTTAATTCTAATAGGATATAATCAATCAAAATATATATATATATATATATATATATATATACACACACACACACACACACACACCAACCAATATTGAATTTGTATTTAGTTATTTGGAGTAACAGTGCCAGTTGATTCCCAGGCACTCTACGGTCTTTTAACAAGTCTCCTGGCCAAAGCAATCACCAGAAATAGTCAGCACAGTTATTTTTGTAATCGTTTGTCTAGTCTGAAACCTAAACATTAGTTATTTATTAAAATGTCCATATTATCCACATTTCAGTTAGTGAACAGCTACCTGATTTTCCAGAAAGACAGTCAGCAGTTGATTCTAGTAGTAAAAAAATAATCAGTCAGTCATGTGTTCTGATCCACTACAGATTCCTCATCTATAAAATATGTATTCTCTGTTTGGAGCCATTATTCACAGAGCTAAGATACAGTATGTTCATAAATGCAGATTTATTTTGATCCTGATAAAACAGATAAAACTTAAAACAGAAACTAACCAAGCCCTGGAGGTTTGCTTAGGCTCAAATCATTTTCACAACAATAAAAAATAGATACTTATTCAAATCCCTTATTTGACATTTATACAGCCAGATGTAAGCTGTCGCGATTTAGGTTTGAAAACAGACTGAAAACTTGGCAATACCAAGCATTTATTTATGACTATAATACACAGTGTTTTCAGATTTAGCCTTCTCATGGGGTGTATTAATCAAGTCAAGATCACATATACTGTAGGTTCTATATTTCTTTGGACGCCAACTGTGGAAATCATTTCACTACAACAGAAGTTAAGAATCTAATTTACACAGTCAGCTTCATTCACAACCGTTTAGGGCTGCGAGTTCACATTGAGGAAGTTTTGTTAAAATATTTGTAGAAACCCTGGTGCATGGGGGATTGTGTCTTACAGGGGCAATCTGGATGGGCTGTGACAGGGGCAGCTGGGTAATGGGTGTGGCTGCGGAGGCTGAGATGTTGGCCCCAGTGGTGCTGTTCTGCTGGCTGGCTGAATGCTGCACGGCTGCAGCCAGGAGCTGAGCCTGGGCCTGCTGGATCAACAGCTGTTGCTGCGCTGGGGTCAGGGTCAACTGAAGAGCCAAGAGACAGAGATGAAGACAGACAGACAGAAGAACGCGGTGGCCACAGGAGGTCAGAGAGAGAGATGGGAAACAGAAAGACAGAAAATAAGAAGTGTTTTGACATATACATTTTATGTTACATCACAGAGATTGGATGAGGTAGTGTTGTCACGAGTTTTGGCTTTGATACCCATGGGAAGTTTAATATCAAACATAACAATAACTACTGCAATCCGACAGAGAGATTTTACAAGAATGTGTATAAAGATTTGTGATACATTTAACACAGTTGTCTTGATAGGTCAGCTAGGAATCGGTCTTCACTAATTACAATAAAAAAAAATACGTAATTAATCCCTGCCTTGCTCCTTTTATCAACAAGAGGTGGACTATATTGTTTGACGCTGTCGCAAACACTTATTTAAATGGCTGCTCCTGTTAAATTAATATTCTGATTCCTCCTTTATTTTAGTATTCCAATTTGTATGAACACATAAAAATGATATTGAAGAGGTCAAAGTACTGACTGTTTTTTTTTATTTTTATTTTTTATTTAATTTAACTTTTCACAAAGGTATCAACGGTATCCTTATCGTGGCAACACTAATATGAGCCCAGAGAGGTAAATGGAGAGAAGACTCATGCAGCTGAGCCAGGCACAAGTGCAAATGAGCATGTTGAGGTCATGTTCAAGCTCAAACTCCACATGCACAGTAAACATTCACTCCCGCACAGCATAATGGCAGCCGCATTCAACCCGGCCGGTCTTCTCAACTACAGTGTGGCCTCAGGGGAGAACATGGATGGATATGAAATGTGTCATGTGGTTGGAGTGTACAGACACATCAAGGCTATATCCAAACATCTCCCCTCCATGGAAGGATTTGGACATAGCCTCACAACCACCAGGATGAACAGGCAGACAAGACACCAGCTTTAGCCACAGAATCAGGGCAAGCCATCATTATATCAACCAGTCCTTCAGCCAGGGTTGATCATGTTGAGGTGTCACCCCAAATGCATGGCTACGACTACGTTTTAACTCAAAGCAATGAGGCAACAGGCCACTTACTCCAGCAATCTGTCCCCCGGCCAACATTAGCTGGGTTTGAGGCAATACGCTCTGCTGGACGGAGGTCGGAAGAGCACTCGAGTCTTCCGACTTAGACTAGTGAAGGTGAAGCAAAGAGGGAGGCTTAGAGGAAATCTTCCCACAGGTGTAACTGAGCATTGTTCACAGCACAAATTAGTCGTCATAGTCGCTGTTATAAAAAGAACAAGATCCAAAGAGTAATAATCTATGTAATAGTCTAAATAAAATAAGCATAACTATAAATACAATAAATACAATAAAGAATTAGTTCTCTGTGCCACCTGAACAGAATGAGCCTGTGTCTGTGAGCACAGAGAGGAATTTGAATTAAAAAGGAAGTGAGAACGTGGGTATTTAAAATGTGCTGCAGCCTTCAGAGACAAGGAAAGCGAATGGGAAGGGAGGGGAGAGTTGAGATGCTAATTAAAATAACTGTTATGCAGTGCATGTAAATTCTGCATAGATTTGCATATTCTCGGCCATCTGTTTCCGAGCAACCGCAGAGCAGCTAATTAGCATACAGGCTTGATTAATCTGCCGTGTTGCCAGGCGACAAGGGGAGCCTGGCTCATTTAAATGAACCCTTTCTACATGTGTATGTGGGAGTGCAGATGAGCATACCTCTATTCAAACTTCATACCTTATTTCATTATAAAACTACCATTGAGCTGTGTCACTACGCCCAAAAAATAATCTGTTAGTCATCGTCTACATCTGTTAAGACTTCTGCATAGGAGAACAAAAAATTACTTAAGTTAAAGTGTGTGATGTTGTGCATCATGTGTTACCTGTTGGAGGAGGGCTTGTGCATGTGCATTAGTGATTGCACTTGTGGTTGGCACCATCTGCCTCGAAAAGTCAAATCCATTGGTTTGGATTCCTGAGGACAGAAATACAGCTAATGAAATGTGATATCAGGAGTTCAAAGATGTTTTGATTATTATAATCTACGCTGCTACACAAAAACAGAGAAACACACTACTAGAAGCCCACAGTGAACCTGTAGAGGCATACTTAAAGAGAACAAAGTATTACCGGGCTGACTAAAACATCTTTTTTTAAAAGTGACAGCGTATGTAACTGCAATCCTGATCAAAAGTCATTACACGAATGCATAAATCTGCTCAAATGCAGTCTGGTGAACCATCCTAGAATTAAATATTAACACTACGGGCTTACACGAAAATTGGAAGCATACATTAATATTTACTCCATTCATTGCATTCATCATTACACAATAGGAATATAAAGCAGAGCACTGAGTCTACAATGTTCATTCTGAGTTTCCAGAATTCGTATCACTGTAGCAGTGAAACAGAGCAAATTAGTGAGATATTGAATGGGCACAAGTGAGGGTGACTGCGCTTTGAGGTAAACACTTAATCTGACAAAGAGGACTGCTCACAATGATTTTGGAAAGCTGCCATGTCTTTTTTTTTTAAGTCAACAATACAAAAAAGGTGGACAGCTGGGAGCTTTTTCTGATATGTGCTGCAAAAATGTTCATTTTGGCTAGGAATTTGAAACCTGTTGAATGGAGGAGATACAACTCGACACATCCTGATTTCAGCCCAGTAAAGAAAGAAAAAAAAAAAACCTGGAGGTCACTCACCGGTGTTCCCGTCACCACTTTCCATTGCACATTTAGTAGTTTCTGACTGATTATTCACTTTAGCATCTGGAAGAGCCAGACAGAGACAGAGAGTGAGACCCACTGCCAGTAAAAACATAACCCTGTCTCAATAACAGGAGTGCTCTCACTTTTGTCACCTGAGTTTATCCCATAATTGCATGATATTCCTATTTTGCAATATAACATTTCAGTCACATTCACCAACACAATCCAAATGCGTTTATGGTCACAGGCTATAAGAAAGAATGACATAAGTAATGTCACAGTAATACAGTGAAGTCTTATGAGTAACATTTTAATGCAAAGTGTGCCAGATAAACCTTTCGGATTTCACACAAGGACGCGAGGCAACAACGAAAGCCAGTTGAGCTCGATCACAGCCTCATCAAAAAAACTCACCCGCTCTTGCTTCCAGCATGGTTGCTGAACCTATCACGGAAAATTGCTTGTGTCGGGCAAACCCTCCGACAGGGTGTCCGGCACTCTGTTCCTCCTCCCTCTCTTCACTCTCCACTGGTCAGCAGCGAGCAGAGTTCAATACAACCACAGCGACACAGACACGGTGGCACTGTCCACCACACGGTTCACTGAATAACACTGGGATACGCACACTGGGAAAGCCAACAGGGTTTAGGCAAACAGCTCTCCTTGCCTCTCTCTGTGCACTCTTTTCTTTTCTTATAGCTCTGCCCCTCTCTCTTTTACAGCACCTACTTCACTCTCCCTTTCTTTCTCCCTCCCTCTTTCTCTCGTGTGCCAAAGATTTGCTGTACTTCTGAAAAAGTTCAACCTCTCCCTCTCTTGCTGGAATGAAACAAACGACAAGTGCAGCTGGCAGCCTCCTCTAACTCCACTCCGCTCCCTCCAACTCTATAATGAAGCATAATCAGTATTCAGCTGATTAAAGCCGTATGCAAATCTGCCCCTGCCTCGTTAGCAATGCAAGGCTTTGAAGTCCTGCGAGCGACGCATTTCACACCAGGCTCTGAAAGCTTTCTGCATAATTTAAACTCCTATAAATATTTATCAGCTCATTAGCATATTAATTGGATGGCTTTTGGAGGACGATAAAAAACAGGGGAATAAGGACGACACAGAGAGGGGGGGGGTGCTCAAACTACCACTTGGCGCAGCAGAGGGAGGGGAGGCAGCAGCACAAGACCAATTATTGTGCGAGTGCACGGCGAAAAAGTAATTAGCTAAGAGCAGGTAATGGGCTGAAGATATCCCAGAATGCCGTGTGAGGCCTGTCGGCGGTGGTCTGGGCATGTTAGGAAGGCGGACTCCATTAATAGAATGTCTAAGACTGCTCATTCGGAGTATCTCCAGGAGACACGGAGACCAGGCCTAACTGCTAAAAAGGCTTGGGGGGGGGGGGGGTCAGGGATATGAGAAGGAGGGGAACTCACTGAATTGGAAATAAATAACTCTACATTAATCCACCACAAGCCTGTCATTACAGCTAGACCCCCTGTGGCTAAAGCATTCCAAAGCGAGCAACTACAGAGAATGGGTGGCAGGCTGTTGCTGTCTATGTTTATGAAGTGTTTGAGGATTAGCATATTTCGATTAGCTTTACATTCCATTAGTATTTCATTTTGGAGCTCTTTTAAATTCATTTCCAGTATGCTCGAAGAGTTAATACAGCGGAGAAACGGCCCTACTACAAGGCTACACAGGTGTCTAGTGAATCAGAATGACTGGACAGGAATGCATGTCTGTATTGTGGTCTACAGGGGAAGTGGCTTACCGACTAAATCCACAACAACTGCTCCTGGTTGATGCTCTCATCAACTCCGTGACTTAACAAAAAGGTATTTACATATTTGCAGTCCAAATAAAACAATGCGAAGAGGGCACATTGGCGTGAGCACAATACATACTGAAAATCAAACAGACCTTTCTCAACTGTGTGAGGACCGATCTGCAACCTCCGGGTCAGCAAAGTGAGACCACTTTCCAGTGGACTTCGCGATAAATCCAAACTACTACCACTTGTGAGCAGCAGGAGCTAGACGTTTCTACCATTTTGCCATTACTTTTTAGCAGTCTATTTAAACTTTCCTGCTCCCATGTTACCTTCATTTCACAAATTCTTAATCAGACGGTGATGTTAAGGTGTTACAACTGACTTGGGTTGGTGGGAGACTGTGTGGGCCCGTTGTAGCTAGTACTTACTGATGGTATTGATTATTATGTCAATAAATATACTAAAAGATCAGCTACATACCAATTTGTAAACCATTTTATGTGTCTATATCCCTCAGTTAATCCAGTTATTCATTAAGTCAATGAAATGTATGAAAATTGGGACGTCTTCGAATCCGTGTTTTGTCTGACCAAAAGTCCAAAGCCAAGAGATATTCGGTTTACTACAATATATGATGCAAAAAACAGGCTACCCTCACATTTGAGAAGCTGTCTCTAGTTCTGGTGACTGCTGAAGTATCCCTGTTTGGAAATCACTGCCCTAAGCAATAAGGGCATTATACTCCACACCACTTTCTCACTGTTGATCTCTTCAAACAACGCAGTGTTTAGTTAAAGTCCAGCCTACTATTTACCAAGATAGCTACTGTAAGATCTATACGTATGCCACACTAGTGTAAAAAAAATGATAATCTAGAAGGGGTTGGTCTTTCTGACCTCTTCAACTATCATATCATGCAACCAAATGAGAAGACAAAGGAGAAGTAATGTAAAGGCAGCGCGCTTCAACACATGTACAGTTACTTGGTTGAATGGTTTGCAAAACCCTGCTGTGGAACAATGCATAACACAAATAACCTGCCAAGAGAATTTTAAATAGGTACCTCATTAGCACTGTAATATGGGAAAGCTGGCTGAATACTACAGAGCCGTTAATGTGAGCAGAGAAATTCAACGTGAGACTGAGCAAAACTTAATTAGCACATCAACATTCTGCCCTGCTATCTATATTCTTTATCTTAAATGCAGAATACATCAAGAACACTTTTCCAAAGCTGGACCAGTCTAAATGAGCACTAAGCAGATTTTGGAACGGTTAGGATGCGTGGTCATGACAGATAATCATTCAATTTGTGGGAATTAATAATGAAACAACCTGAAGCTTCCTGGTTTAATGCAGACATAATATGAATATCCAAACAATTTAAAATACCTTTTATCACTAGTTAACGTATTAAACTAACACAATCTGACCACAGATAATACAAACGGCAACATCGGACTGAGCCCGCAAATGAACAAAATACAGGATACAGAATAATTTGATGAACAGTAATGGGGCTAACACTACTCTCAGCTACTGTGGTATCTCTTGGGTGGTCATTAGCCAACTGTCTACAGGCTAAGTGGAAAACTCAATCTAACTAAATAAGAGTGAAGGTTTTAGGTAGGAATATTCAATGATGAGTCGGAGTATGCATTCACATATAAAATCACCACCTAGGAAGCGGATATTAGCATTAACTGATGTTTATTCATGTGGTGTGTATTTCTTGTAATAGCAAAACACTGAATTTTTTTCAGATTTTACCAGGGACCCTGACTTAACAGCATAACTTTTTATTTTATCTATTTGAAGAAAGCACATAATATTTTTATTTATTTATTTTTGCAAATGCCTCTATTTTCACAACATAATGTAGATTTAAAAACTGTCCAAAACTGTCTGGGGCATAAAACTGTCCATGAAATTCTGGCAAATGTTTACTGGTGATCTTAATAGTGGTCAACACATGAAAGTCATCAGGGACAACATGGCAATTTTTGTAGGTCATCCACAAATCATAAACTCCTCTGTGTCTACTTTTCCTGAAAGCCCCTTCTGTTGCAGATTATTTCATGAACCTACAAGGCAAATAATCTTGGCTCCTTAAATCTACCTATTGGTATTTCCCAAAACCAACAAATGTTTAGTATATATTCATGATTTAACCTGACAGGTTCCTATGTTATTTGTCTTAAAGAAACACTGTTTTTTTTTTTTCCCCAAAGACAGCCAAAATCTTTAGCCAAATGTATTTTACTACATTCATAATAAGTCATTCTTCTGGATTGCTCACTTTACTATAGATCACCAGAAACAAGTAGTTATCTGTTTTAAGCACACCACACAGCCCTGATTAGTTATGATTTTCTTCCTCCACAGTGAGAAAGCTTGTCTGACTGGAGCCGTCATGGAGGCCTTCTCAGTGCTTTGAGATGGCATGTCCTGAATTTATTACTGCGAATGATGCATTATTCATAAGAACTGTGTTTACATCAATGAATATTCATGAAGGAACTACAAGGCTGAAATGAGGGTGGAACTGTAAAACTAATTAAATGGGAAAAGTAGCCTAAGTGTGGGGATGACAGAATTATTCCTCATCTGTTCTTTAAGCAGCCCAGTTTAATAAGTTAATTATATATTTTTTTAAGTAAGTGAGCCCATTTCCTGGCAGTGGATGCAATTTCACAAAATGCAAACACACACATCTTCATTTCTTATAGAATATCACGTAGTGTCATGACTATGATGCAATATATCACATACCACACAATTGCTTGTTATGTGATACCATTGTTACTATGGGCAAAGTTACCCTGTGACTCTAATAACAATGCAAGCAGGGTACGAATTTTGTGTATTTGCATGAGAGAGAATACAATCTAAATCACAAGTAGGGCAGGAGACATGAAGCTGAATTGTGAGGTAAACAAACCAAGCAAAGAAGCACAACATGCATCTCTATTTAATGTGTTTTCACTTGCCAAGATACGCATGATGTCTTCATTAGCATGTACACAGAGTGCAAAATTAACGTTTTTGTCCACCAGTCAATGGCTAGTGAATGATCAAAGGGTACCAGCCACACAGTATATTACCACTGTTTTTTGGCTGGTGAGTGAAGTAAATCTATCAGCCATTTGCATATTTTATCAGCATTTGGCTGGTGACTGGGGCTAATTTTGGACCCTGCATTTACCCCTCAAAACTCACAACTGCATAACCTCTATACTGCAAAGAATAAACAACATTGCCCTAGCCAGCACAATCTATTTTCTGCCACACCTGATCTGTCACGCAGGTACCCATCTGACTATTATGACAACAGACTCTGGATTGGTACTCTTATAGAGAAACTACATGGCAACTTAACTACATGGAGTAAAAAAGTGCCATCAAGCTGTGTCTTGCCCGACCATGAAACCTAGTGAATAGTAAGAATGCCCTGCCTGTTATTATTGTGGCCTTCCGGAAGTGGGCCTCATTGCCCCTCCCTGTGCCCGGGAGGGGGGGATACACAGGTACAATCTTTGTATTCAGCACACACAGACTGGGTCAAACCTCCTGCAACAACTAAGGTCACAACAGATACAAACTAAGTTTTCAAAGAACAAGTCTGGAGCATTAAAAAGTTGTACAAATAAATGTAATATTCTAATTAGATGGATTAACAGTTCGCCCGATCTGATGCCAGACTAAATAAAAAAGTGCTCGACCCAACTTCAATCAAACTTAAACATTTTACTGCGCACGACAACTTAAACACAGCTAACGTTAAGTTACCCGCTAACGTTACAACCCCGTTTGTATTTTAGCTGAATTAAATAACCGCTAACGCAAAGTTAGCAACTAAACGGCTGGACCAAGTTAGAGAGGGTAGCTAGTTAGCCTCTCGCAAAACAGCCGCTTCGAGTTTGAATAGACGACCGTGTATTTTACTGTTGCTCCACAGTCAATATAATCACAACGTGCTGTGTTGACGTGCATTTATTGTGCCGCGCCGGATGAGCTCCAGCTTCTCGTCGGTTGGTGGAATATCTGCTGAAGTCCGCACTCTGGTCCAGGCAGGCCCGCATGAATAACACAACAGGCTGCTGTGGCTCCACTGCGCCGAGCACAAAAGGCTGAGGGGAAAATGCTCTGCTATAAAATCACGTCGAGCTGAAGTCCACCGAGCGGGCACTTTGTGTTTAACAAAAGCCATGTTTGTTACATTTACATTTATTCCCCTTAAAACAGCGCTTGGAAAAAAAGAAACAAGCGCAGCCTCTGTCTGACTCGCCGAAAATGAATATGCAAACCTCTTTCAAAAGCTTCACGCCACAGTGTGCATCAACACAAAGCCAAGCGTTAGCAGGCGAGCTAACGCTAGCTGGCTAGCATCCTCATTTCAATCAAACTGCGTTAGTGATATATCTAAATATGTCATATATGAACCAGAGTCACGTCGGCGATTACTAATAAAATATGCTAAATTGTATTTGTCGACAGAGGTATGAATATGTAGCGGCGTACAGCCATCTAATCACACAAAGGGGGGAGGCATGTTTCCATGTAATTTGCCGTCGCACTGCAATAGCTCGTTTCCTCCTCTGTCAAATTA